CCTCCCTGCCTGCAGCCCGACCCGGCGGGTGGGCTCTGAGGGCGGGTCCCTGCCTCTTTTCCGGCGGTCTCCCGGTCTCTCCGGCTTACTTTGCCTCCGTCTGCACTTCCCTGCTCCCTTCTGCCCCTGCCTGTCCCTCCCTCTCCATCACTGTCCCTCTGCTGTAACCCAGCAGGGCTGGCGTGGCGTGGGGGGAGGCCTGCCTGTGACCTGCTCTGGGGAGCAGCACTCTGCACTCCGTCGTGGCCTTGGCCTTGGCCAGGGCTGCAGGCCAGGCTGCGCTAGGTCCACGGGGTGTTTCTGTGTGTCACCAGCTAGGTGGTGGCCCGGCTGGGCTATGATTGAGATCTGGGGCTTGATAAGGGGCCTGAGTGGGGTCAGAGCTCAAGCCGCTAGGCTCCTTGGGTGCTGGGTGAGCAGGTAGATGCTGCCAATAGGGTGACCCCAGGACTGCTGGAGTTTGGCACCTGATGCTCTTCTTCAGTCTCTATCCTGGGCCTCTTGCAGAGCAGAGAGTGCAGCAGGAGCTGTCCTCAATTTGGTCAGCAGTGCCGCAGCTGGCCACACCCAGGGCACCGGGCCAGGTGCTGGTAAGGGGCTGTGGTGATGCTGCATTGACTCAGACTGGACCTTGCCCCGGGAGGAAACAGGTCCATGATGCAGAGAGGGTGCCTGGTCTGGATGAGTCCTGCCATCTGCTTTGGAGCTACCAGGCCCACTTGTCTGGTGAGGATGAGGCCAGGCGAGAGTCTTAGTTTGAAGGGCCACAGCACAGGAAGCGCAAGCCCCTGGGACTGTCTGGGCCTCCCTTGTCCAGGTGGGAGCCTGGGGTGTCTGCCTGCTCTGGAGAGCAGTAGGAGAATGGTGGCCTGGTGGGCATGGGCCTGGCCCTGTCCGTGTCTAGATCAGCTTCCTTAGAAGGGGCCCTTAGAGGATTTGCATCTCTGCCTCTCGCTTCCCAGGCTGGCTGGCTGGCTGCTCCCATGCTGCTTCTTCCTCTCTTCTGGCTGCTGCCCCTCCTGGGCTGCAGGTCTCAGACATCTCACCCAATGTCTACCTCCCCAGAGGCCTGGGCTGGGTGTCCCTCCTCAGTGGCCTCATTACTGAATTTGTGTCATAGTACCCTGGCTGTCAGGCGTCTGTCTCTGCACAATGGCATACAGAACCGTGTGCTATTAGGGATGGGGTCAGTGCCCACCTGCAGACCCTGTGGGACATCTGCCTGATCAGGCCCCAGGGCCCTTTGGGCATGCATTCCTGATAAGGACTGCCCTGGGGCCTGTGCAGGCCTTCTGTAGCTGCAATCATGTCGCCGAAGGCCAGAGCTAGGTCAGCCCATTCCAGGCCTGCTCCCTGTAGGAGCTGTGCGGGGTCTTCCTGAGCCCCCTGGTGCCAGCTGGGAGCCGGTCCTTTACCCATTGTCCAAGTGGAAGGGAGCTTCTCCCTTCCCACTTTGTGGGGGCTGCCCCCTGGTGGTCACACTTGGCATCACTCAAACCAGGAGACGTGCTGCGGAGGGATCCGCCCAGTCCAGGTTATTTCAGCTCCTTCCTAGCTGAAGGGAGCCTGAAGTGTTGACCTCACAAAGAGTTCCTGATGGTGATGCCACACAGGTCATCGCGTGAGCACAGAATGTCACTCCTTTTCCAGAGGCAGAGCTGAGCCCTGGGAAGCTAGAGGGGCAGGGAGCCTGGACCCCCAACCTGGATGGATGGGTACACCTGCAAATGCCCAAGAGCTTACCCTGAGCTCTTCCTCCAGCTGCACCCTGGACAGGTGCAGGGACATGGCAAGAGACATCTGTGTGTCTCTCCTGACTGTGGGCCATGGCATGGCTGGGTCTTTCCCAAGAGTGCCATGCAGAGCAGCACAGCTCTGTGTCTGGCTGGTGTCTTCTGTGCTGTGGGGCTGGGAATGTGGGTCGGGACCTCACCTCTGCCCTGGAGGGCCTGGCTGGCACACCAGGCTGGTGCCAAGAGCCAGGGAAGTCCTGTGTCTCTCTGTAAACAGGCTTCCCCCACTGGTGGGACCCTGGGGCCAGGGACAGGAGGCAGAGGCCTGCACCAGGGTGGAGCTCTCTGGCCAGAGCAACTCTCCACATGCTTTGGGTGGGGATGTGTGGGTCTGACAGGAAGGGCAACCACAACTGGGCTCTTCTGAGCCTTTCTCAGGTGAGGATGGGCACTGAGGAGGTGGCCCCAGAGGTCCCTCCACTCCCAGTGAGATGAGTTTTCAGAGGCTACCACTGGCAATGGCTGTGGGTGGTTTTTTTTTTTTTTTTTTTTTTTTTTTTTTTT